GGCCCTCTTATTTAAACCAAAATAAAAATAATGGTGCTTTTTCTGATTTCTCTCATGTACTAATAATTTATGTGAACTAGATATATATTTATATCTTTATAGAAATTTTAGATGGTTTTTGAAGTAAAAAGCACATAAGTTGCACAAGATGATTCTATCTAAGTATAGGAGATAGTACTTATTAGGACAGCAACATTGGAACTTGACCTTTATTGAGCATATTGTATAGCCATCCCTGACTGGGGTGTACTGCACGTGGTAGTTGGGTTCCCCTAGATCGGGGATGCACGTCCTACAATGTCTGAAAGATGCCCTGAACTTTGGGCTTTTGAAAACAGCAAGAGAAATTAAAGAAATATATTCAAAAACCATGAGCAAAATACACAAGTAAAATGTACCTATAAAAGACACTATAAACATAGCTATATCACATGTGGAATACTGCTATCTATTTACCCCTCTTTTTTGCAGGATGGATGCAGACAGTTAGGATCTTACCTTTGCTGCAGCCATTTTATTTGGCTGGAGCCACACTATTCCCCCTTCCTTTGTGAGTTAGACTACGCCACCGGAGATACACTGGTTCCAGGCCTGGCTCCGCCACTGCTAGCTGTGTGTCTATGGGCAAGTTATGTAAATACCTTGAGCATCTGTATTTTGCCTGAGAGAACAAATGGTGCAGTCATGCCTATCTTACTGACTTATCTTAGTGACTATGTTCATAAAATGTTTCACTGGGTGTAAGTTTCATAAATCAAGGACTATGTTTTAATCAGCTTTTTATGTCCAGCCTCAGTACAGTACCTGGCATATAAGGATACAGGATTCATGGTATTATCACGTGATGTTGCATAGCGTAGGAAGTTTGCTGAGGTTTGCTCTCTTTCATGAGGTTAGATATGGCTTTTGACAGAAATAGTGATTAGTTGTTGCATCGGCTGATGGCTCCAGTGCTAACACACTTAAATTAAAAATTGGGGGACAAAGGCTATACCGCATACAGTTAAAAAAGTTCCACTGGTGGGTAGGAAATAATCCCTTGAAGAAGAGAGTGAACAAAGTCAGACTCTTCCAGGTACACCGGGTGATAAACATTAAGAAAGACCAATTCTTGTATTGACTAAACGTAGGAGACAGAACAAAGGCCGGAATGAAAATGGAAGTGCTGGGAACAAAGAGTTCAAACACAAGAGATAGATACTGAGAGAGCGGGCCAGAGATTAGCTGACTCAACATCAATAACTGCTGTCAATGAGTAGCAGCCACCACGTGGACCAGTGGCCAGGAAAACATGTTCACTGTGGAAGGTGAGAAGCAGTCAACGCCATGATGACCACCTCGGCGTGACGTCAAGGTCAGCCCACGGCATGCACTGTATATGCAAATAGAATGATGAGGCTGAAGGAACAGGGAGACTGATGGGGGAGTGGTATCAGGAATTATTTTGGTTGGGACTTAGGAACTAAAAGGGAAGGTTCTGATTCTCCTCGATTGTCCTCTGCTCGATGGGTAGACATTGGTGAAGCTGACAGTGTGGAGGTGTTGCATTCGCATGGTCTGTTGCTCAGTTCTGCTTGTGCTATCCTTTTTCACGTTTCTCTCTGCATCTCCTCACAAAGGAAATTGAACATTTATCATCTTCCACATGTGCAGCGATGTGCCAGCTGTCTTTCATACGACCTCATTTAATATTCACATCGACATTTCAAAGTAGGTATATTTCCACCTTATAAACGAGGCTTCCAAGTCTCAGAAAAGGTAAATAATTTTTCCAAGATGGGCCTAATAAATGATCGACTCATGTCTACCTGACTCCAAGGCTCATGTGCTTCCCATTCTGCCACAGGTCTCCCTATTCCCTTTGGCCGCTGGTCATTGGCCAACACGATTCTAACTGGACAGTCTCTCATATACTGAGGTATGATATGCAGTGGTAGGCCTCACACATCCTGGATTAAACCTCTGGACTGTCAGAGAGCTTGTCTGGTATTGTCCTACACATATTCTAGGATTCTAGGTTGCTCAGGTGAAAATAATTTGGTGTCAGTATGCAAAATTTGGTTTCACTGATTCTTTTTGGAAGACATTTAAATTTTACAAGATGACTACCCCAGGTAGAAAGAGACTTTCATTACTGCCACAGTCAGAACTGGCAGACGCTCAGCTATAGGAATAGCTGTAGCACTTCAACTATGAGATACAAGATTTCAGCTCTAAATATATTGATGTAGGGTTAATGACAATAGCTGCAGAATTAGTTTCTAGGGATAAACACACAAGTGTAGCCATCTTCAGAAATTATCACATATTATTGTTTCTCTCTATCCCACTTTTTTTTTTGAGGAATATTTATCTTAGAGAGCTCTTGTCATTGCTTAGTTAATACTACAGCCAATGAGTAGAGACATAGCTTATGTAATTTGCTGAGGAAACAGCCATTAAAAGCTTTTCTAGGAGTGAATTGCTGCGAATGTTCCTGCCAGCATCACCTTTGTAAATCAACCCTCGCTAAGGACCCAGAACTCTAAAAACAAGATACAAGGCAGCTTCCTGGATGGCTGACATGACCTCTAGACAAGTGTCGGCACATCGCACGCACCTGGAACCACTTCAAAATGGTTAAGGTTTTTTTTTTAAAAAAGCCAATGGGACACAAAGTTGTAATGTAAGAAAAATATTAGTTGAAGGTCGGGTTGGATGAGGGTAGGCGAGTGCCATTCTCAGAGACACGCTGAAAACCTGAAGCTCTATTATTTTTTTCCTCTAGAGAAAAAGCGATGACCCAGTATTGCATAAACACATTTATTTCAAGTGGTACAAAACCTCTCATAAGCATCTACAGGTGAATCAGGGAGATGCAGCCAATGGCTTCAGGGTGGTTTCTGCCTCCAAGTGCTCCTTGGGATGACTTTCTGGTCAGAGGCCTAGCGAGGGGTGCAACAGGGGACCCCTTGGGGAGCACTCCTTGCTGTGGGGAGGCACGGAGGACGCGAGTCTGACTCTCAGTGGTCAGAGAAAACACAACTAGCAGGGCACATGGAGAGCACGACGCTGGCTGAGAAATTCTTAGGCAATGGAGCAGGGGAGTGTACTGAGGTGGGATCAATTTTACAGCAGGTCCTCAAATAACATCATTTGTTCAATGCTGTTTCATGATAACATTGATGAGATCCCCTAGCAACTTAAGACTTGTTTCTATCAATTCGGCTGTGGTAAAATTGGCTTTGTTATGCATTGTTTTGCTTCAAGCTGTAGAACCTATCAATGACGTTAAATGAGGACTTAATTGTAACATGCTCTGAGAGCATGAGTGTTTGCTATGGAATGGATGTGCGCAGCGCAGGGGCGCTGGCGTGGAGTGAGTCATCTTAGGTTGCCAGGAGAATGTAGGCCATCGAAGCAAAGGAGGCTAGCGATGGGCCACCAGAGGTCCAGGGGCATACAGTGGATAAACATGGAGACAGTGTATTGACCAGTTTCTAGAGATTGTTTAAAACAAACAAATGAGCAAAAATCCTATTTCATATCCTTGCAATACTTAACGCATGTGGCTACAAAATCCCTTTTCACCGTTTACAATAAAACTGAAGCTGAATTTTGAGCAGGAAAGCCAGTTAAATCTCAATTCTAATCTTTCCCGAATTCAAAGAAGGGAAAAAATAAAGAATTAAACAATTGCATTGCTGTCAGAAACTGAAATATATGATATATATTACCATATATCATATATATATGATATATATAAAAATATAAATATATATATATATATATATATATATATATATATATATATGAATATAAACTTTTGGGAGACAGATGTATTCTGGTCTCAGAACCTGAAGGTAGTTGAGAGGACAATTTTAAGGTATTCTCATCAATCTTGATTTGTCTGATGCTGTGATGAACCTGTTATCTATTCTAATAATACCTATGTCAATATTATTTTCTAATGCCTTGACTATATAAAGAAATATATAGAAGACGAAGACACAGTCAAAATAGAAAGAAATATATGAGATTAGGCATGCTTTCTTATGAATGCTCATTGTTTAATTCCTCACACAAGGTTTTCTGGTCTTACTCAAGGACATTCATTATTTGCTACACTAAGACACATGGTTGAACATTATTGTGTACGAAAACCAGCTAAGTTATTGTATGTATAATAGATCCAGTGACCGGTTACATCATTAAATGTTTATCTATGAAAGCTGACATCCGATGCAGGTTATTAATAGGTTTTTTAAAAAAAAAATTAGGCAAGGAACATTTTGACTTATACTTTTCTTATAACATTTCAGAAAAATGTAAATAGCAAGCTATGCAAAACTGATTTGTCCCAGTCTTCTTTCTTTCAAGTGTAGAAAAGCATCAAATGCCTCAAATGCTGAGAGTAAGCAAGTGATGTCATGGTTTTAGACATTAAATATTACATTACTGAATTCTGATCATCTTACCCAAAAGTGGCAATCTTTTCTTAACTAATTCACCAGGGCTTTGGGGAAAATGACGGGGTTACCGCATTCTTCTCTCACTTTCTCAGGGCGTCCCTCACGTTCCAAAGGCTGGGATTATGAATTTGAGGCCATGTTGGCGCGTTCGCTTACCACGGGCCGGTGTACATCCCAGAATGCCCTCTCCTGGCTATCGAGGATCTTCCTTTCAATCTTGTCTCTCTTCTTGTCCACTCTGCCAACATGGTAACAAAGAATAAGAAGTAGGGTTAATTGTAGTGTCTCTGTGAACAAAAAGCCAAAACGTGAACAAATCTTCCAAAAGACTCACAAGGACTCACTTTGCTTGTGCTTCTGCTTGCATAAAAATGAACTCCCACTTCCGGGCAAATGCTCTCTGCAGCCTGGCCAGGCTCTCCTGAAAAAGAAACCATAGGTGACGACATTCTGGTATTTGTCATCTAGCTTCTAGCTTATCTACCATATGTTTTTATCAAAAAACAAATACAGAATTTCCAAAGTAGTAAGTACACTCTGGCTCTCAGTGATAAGTCATGCACACGGAGTGCAGTCGCTCCTCATATAAATAGATATAGAGAAAACAGGGAACCCTATGACAAATATTAATTTTTATAAATACGTGGCTTTAGAGACCACAAACAAAAAAAATCCAAAATTCTGAAATTGCCTTCTATAAAAACAGTGCTCAAGACTAACCCTTTGGATTATTCTGTGCCCACTTCACTGAGGAACAGGAAAGTAATATGTTTATACTCTGATTCAATCAGTGTATCCAGTTTTGGACAATAATGTGAATCCTTGGCAGCCTGCTACCCATTTCTAGGCAGCGTTTCAAATTCAGTAAATCACAACATAGCAATTGTCTGAACAAATTACATCAGATTAATTTTATCTGCTGATGGTGACCAACCTGGAAGTTTTGCAAAAGTTTGCCAGTATAAATGCTCTTTAATTCTCTCAGTTTATATTTCTTCACTATATATAAGTATATATCTAAAGTTTTAGCACTTCAGTCAATTTTTGCAAATAAGATAAGCTACCCCCTTCTACCCTGAGTTCGTGTGTTTAGAATTTCACATGCTCAATGAGAGAAAGCAAGCAAGTCAGAGATTTATTACATCATTATGCTACCTGATCTCTTGGAAATCTGCTCCTTAAACTCATGAATGTAGAAAGTTAACAGAGTACCCAGAAATGACCATGGGCCTTATACCTGTTCATTTTATGACTTTCTTCACCAGAAAGTCCTAATACTTACAGCTTCATAGTCTGCTAGCTCCAGCCTGGCCTTGTTCTGCATTGTTCTCTTGCAGAGGTAAACAGCTAAAAGAAAAAAAAAATTTCTTGCTGGTTTATTAACAGTGAGGTATAAAAATAAAAATATAGCATTACAAATCAAGACATATTGGTCTCTGTCACCTTTTTTTCCAAGTTGAAGTTATAATTTTCTTTATTGATCTTTTTTTAGACAAAAATAGATAATTTGCAATGTTATTACTGTTACATAGTGGTATTTATGGTGTTCTAAGAAAATAAACATGTTTAGAGACTTGCTAACCATTTCTTTATTTTTATTTAATAGCTGTCACAATTTTAGCTTCCTCCAGAAATAAGGGGAAAAAAATAAAGCCTTTTAAATAAGACATCGAATGAGATTTCTGGTCAAAATGGCGGTATAGGTAAGTGCTGTGCTTGCCTCCTTTTAGGGCCACAACAAACTTATAGCTAAACTCCAGAACAACCATCACTGAGAATCACACGACATCCCGCTGAACGGAAGCCCTACAACCACAGACATACAGAAGAAGCCACCTCGCCACTGGGTGAAGACGTGGGACAGGCTGGTCCCACATCTGTGTGTGGTGGTTAAAACTCAGGGGGGACATCTCAGCTGCAGATATTCCCCCTGCCCTGAGGAGCATTGGGTCCCAGTCCCAAACCAGGGTCCCCATCCAGGGATTCTAGTGCCAGGAAGACAAGTCCCCACAACTTCTGGCTGAGAAAACCCAGAGACTGTGAATGAGTGAGAGGGAGGGCAGTTGGAGTCCCAGGCATTCTTCTTTTTTTTTTTTTTTTAGCTGAGCCATCCTGCCACCTGTTCGCAGCTCAGCGGCTGCGCAGCTCGGGCCGGGCATCGAACCGCTGTTGCTCAGAGCTCAAACTCTTGAGCGAGCTCTTAACCAACTGAACCACTTGGCCGGCCCCCAGGCATTCTTCTTAAAGGGCCTGCATACAGGTTCACTCACTGATGGGCTCACTCGCCCTGAGCTCTACTGCTGGAGTAGCAGCTTGAAAGGTGCAAGGGACACATAGGAGGATCTGAATTGTCTGGCTTTAGGGTGAGGACTGAGGGGCAGCTTCTTCCCAGACAGAAGTGCTGGAAGAATCCATTGGTTTCTGCTCCCAGCCTACAGACTCAGGTGGCTACCATATCTGAGTCTCCATCAACCTGGCTCACGCCATTAGTTTTGCCCTGATGATTCCCTGAGAACTCAACCTATCCACTTGCGGGCCCACCCAAGCTGCTTCCAGTAGCTTTTCCAAACAAATGGCCTGTTTTGGCTCATGCTGAGGACTATTCTAAAATCTCCCTAAGGTTCACAAAATCCAAACAAGCAACATCTGGTCTCAGTGTGCCCCATATCTCTTGCTGAGCATCCCCAAGCCCAGCACTAGAGGCAGCCACCCTCGGTTTCTGGCTTGGCCTCTCTTAGGAATCTCCTATCCCAGTGGGGGTGGTTGACATCTATGAATTGCTCTGTGGCTCACGTCAGGTGGCCCAGGGCAGGGCATATGTCTGCATGGGGGCCTCTCCCAGAGAGCCCCAGTGCCAGCATGCCCAGTGGCCAGCTTTGGAGCAAGCACCACCCAGCTGCCTCTGTGGGTGACACACCCAAACGGCAGACTGAGCAGGCACCACAGCCTTGCTAAAGTGAATCCTGCTCCATAGGGTCAGTCCCTGCACAACAGCTGTTCCACTGTAGTAATGGCCAGTCCTCAAAGCCAATCAGCCTGAGAGTCTATCCCTCCCATTCACTTGCAAGCAGTAACCAAGGTTGAACTACAACAGGAGGGCACATGCAACCCACACAAGGGACACCCCTGGAGTACACAACTCAGATGAACAGGGAGACTGCCCTGCTGGGTCCCATAGGACACTTAGTACATAACTCTACTCTATTAAGACCAGGAGACATCAAAGTCCCATCTAATACAAACAAACACAGGAAGGCAGTCAAATTGGGGAGAAAAAGATGCATTTCCCAAATGAAAGAACAGAACAAAGCTCCAGGAAAAGACTAAACAAAATGGAGACAAAAATTGACCAGACACATAGTTCAAAACACTGGTTATAATGATGCTCAATGAACAGAGAAGTAGAGCAGATGAACTGAGTGAGAACTTTAACAAAGGGATTGACAAAATAAAAATGAAGATAGAAAACATAGAAAAGAACCAGTCAGAAATGAAGAATACAATAACTAAAATAAAGAATATACTAGAAGAAATCAATAGTGCATTAGATGAAGCAAAGATCAAATCAGCAATTTAAAACTTAATGTAGAAGAAAACACCCAGTCAGAATAGCAAAAAGAAAAAAGAATCCAAAAAAATTGAGGATAGTTTAAGAGACGTCTGGGACAACATCAAGCATAACATTTGCATCACTGAGGTTTCAGAAGGAGAAAAGAATGAGCAAGGAATTGAAAGCCTATTTGAAGAAATAATGAAGGAAAATTCCGTAACCCAGTGAAGGAAATGGACATACAAGCCCAGGAATCATAGAGAGTCTCAAACAAGATCAACCCAATGAGGTCCACATCAAGATTCATCATAATTAAAATACCAAAGCTTAAAGACAGAGAACCTTAAAAGCGGCAAGAGAAAAGCAGTTAGTTACCTACAAGGGAGCTCTCATGAGATTGTCAGCTGATTTCTCAACAGAAACTTTGTAGGCCAGAAGGGATTAGCAGGAAATACGCAAAGTGATAAAAAGCAAGGACCTGCAACCAAGATTACTCTACCCAGCAAAGCTATCATTTAGAATTAAGGACACATAAAGAGCTTCCCAGACAAGAAAAAGCTAAAGGGGTTCATCACCACCAAACCCATATTACAAGAAATGTTAGAGGGACTTCTTTAAAAAGAAGGAAAAAAAAGATAAAAAGTATGAATAATAAAATGGCAGTAACTACATATCTGTTAACAATTACTTTCAATGTAAATGGATTAAATGCACCAGTCAAAAGATGGTGTGGCTGAATGGATAAGAAAACAAGACCATTTCACATGCTGCCTGCAAGGAGCTTGCTTCAGCTCAAAAGATACACACAGACTGAGAGTAAAGGGATGGAAAAAGACATTTCATGAAAATGGAGACAAAAATTTAAAAAGCTGGTGTAGCAATACTTATACCAGACAAAACAGACTTTAAAACAAAGGCTATAACATGAGACCAAGATGGACCCAGTAATCCCACTTCTGGGCTTTTATCTGAAGATACCCAAAACACTATTTTGAAGGGACATCCATATGTTCATTGCAGCATTATTTAAAATTGCCAAGTTATGGAGGTAACGTGGGATTCCATGAATGGATGAATGGATAATGAAGAGTTGGTACATATATACAATGGAATGCTACTCAGCCATAAATAAGAACGAAATCTTGCCATCTGCAACAACATGGATGAAACTAGAGGGTATTATGCTGAGTGGAGTAAGTCAGACAGTGAAAGACAAAGTTGATATTATTTCACTTATGTGTGGAATCTAAAGAAGAAAATAAATGAACAAACAAAACAGAAACAAACTCATAGAAACAGGGAACATTTTGATGGTTGCCAGATGGGAAGTGGGTTGGGGGGATGGGTGTAAAAGGAGAAGAGATGAAGAAGTACAAATTGGTAGTTACAAAGTAGTCATGGGGATGTAAAGTATAGCATAAAAAATATAGTAAATAATATTGTAATAATATGCTTTCAGATGGGTACTAGACTTATCATGATGATCACCTCATAAGTTATATAAATGTCTAATAACTATGTTGTACACCTGAAAGTAATAGTGTATGTCAACTCTAATTGAAAAATAAAACTGCTTTTAAAAAGACATCAAATAAACTTAAACATCTAGATGTACATAAAACACCATTTTGTAAAAAGGAATTGCCTGAAGAGGAAACCATTGTTGGCACATTCAATTACTTCTGTATTCTACACTCAAGTGAAAGAATCTATTAATGTAACTGAAGGTTTCTTGGCATCTTCTTTGCATCATTTCTTAAGGGCCAGTCATCAATCAATTCTTTAGTCACTAGAGCAGAAGAGAGTATATCATCTTACCTAACTACAATACAACTACCTGTTAATTCCATTTTCCTGAAAACCCAGTCTCCTCAGGTGCTAGGGAAAGTCCATCTGGGCAGCAGATTTACAGAATGAATGACACAGAGTGAGAGAGGATGGCAACAACAGCATTGCCATCAAGCAGTCAAATTTCTTCAGTTATTTCAGGGTTATCAGTGACTCTATAATAATATCAAGACATTCAGAGCCCTGCGGTACAGTCATAATTACCAGAATATTTTGTCATTTCACACAATATATGATATTTGAAAATATGCTATATCTTTTCTAGATGCTGAAGAAGTTCACTGGATGAAGACTATCAACTATTACTCTTTTTGTAAGGCTCACTCTGGGATCTGCATTATAAATACTGTCTTTGTACTAAGCTGTACAACCCTCAGTTTTTAATAATGAAACCTAGCTGATATCATTGAGAAAATAGCTTACACAGAAAATCTGAGACCGCTGCAAACATTGATGCTATTTGTTCAAAGGTTTCTTATATGTAGGTCAAGGCAAAAGAGAGAGCCAACCATGGAATGATACTAACATTACTACAAACACTAAGAACCAAAGGCAATTTTAGAACACGTCTTTCGACAACCTACCATGGTAATTTTATTTTTCTACTAATAGTAGTAATTTTCAAACAGCAATTTTCAAAATTACGGATTTTCACAATTAATAATTTTACAAATTAGTGAAAATCAAACTTCAAAAACAAAAATTCTATGATGTGTTAATTTTCTGATTGCCATAGTTTGTGTTCACTCTTGAAGAAACTCTTACTGTAGAGGCCATTGCGATCTCAACAAAATATCTAAAACGTTCTCAGCAGTTGGTAGAAGAGATTGTAGTGCGTGTGTAATACCCCTGAGGGTGTCTGTCCATGAGAGAAAGATTGAATCTATTTAAATATCTAAGTAAATAATCTCAGCTTTCCTGTACAATTAATTACCTTTCATCAAATTTC